CCTGCCGAAGAGCCGCCGCCGAGCTCCCGCGAGAGGCGACGCCGAGCTGAGGATGCCGAGGTGATGAGCTGCCGCGCCGAGCTGTTGAGCCGCCGAGGTGCTATGCCGAGCTACCCAACGCCGAGGTGCCGCAATGCCGCGCTGTGATGCCGAGCTGTCCGCGGGACGCCGATGCCGAGCTGGCCGCGACGAGGTGAGGTGTCGAGCATCATCTCCGTGACGCCGAGCTGACCACGACGAGGTGAGGTTGTCGAGTACCATCTCCGCGACGCCGAGCTGACCACGACGAGGTGAGGTTGTTGAGTACCATCTCCGCGACGCCAAGCTGACCACGACGAGGTGAGGAGGTCGAGCACCATCTCCCGCACGTGACGGCGCCGAGCCGTCGTGAAGCCAATGCCGAGGTGATCGTACGCCGAGCTGCCGAGAACGCGGAGCTGCCTAACGATGAGGTGCCGAGCTCCGAGCCGCTGTAAGCGTGACGAACTACCGATGCCAACCTGCCTATCGCGATGCCGAGCTGGGAGGCGACAATGCCGAGCTGTCAAGCCGAGCCGAGGTGAAAATGCCGAGGTCATGTACTCATTTACCATGTGTAGCCAATTTTTCCTCTTGCTCCCATCTACACCCATGTGTCCACCTAACCCAAACACATGTTGGTCCTCTTCTCTCTTTTTGATCTCTTTTCACCTACCCATCCCTAACTTACTCTCCAAGCCTCACTCTCCACCATAGATTGATTTTCAAATTAAGGGCCAAGATCACCCAAGACCTACCCACCAAAATCCATCCTTTCACTTATAAATATCCACCTCTCATCATTCATCATTCACAACTCCAATATTCATCTTCTTCCCAAAATTCATCTTTACACAAATTCTCTCTCTAGGAGTTCAATACCCGCGATTCTCCTCATTGCCGAGCTCGCCTCACAACGCCGACTACACGCCACCGCCGACGAGCCAAAGCCTCATCACCGACCAAGCTCGCCTCGTCAACAAGCCCGCGCCTACCCGCCGAACTCACGCCGGCAACCTCGAGCCTACCCGCCGACCACGCCACATCGACCGGGATCGCCCACTCCGTCACTCTACTTGCATCATGTCGGACAATTCTATGGGTACGCCGACCGCATCCCACTACTATCATCCTTATTATTATTGTGCAAATCGTTTGTTTATTTATTGTATTTATTTTTCGCATATGCTTGTGATTTGTTGTCCAACTATCGCACCCGTTAGAGTCCTCCACCTCGACCACAAACACTAGTACCTCATCGCCCACCATTAGCACTAGTACATCATCGCCTACTCCACACTCCACACCTATAGAAAATCCGACTGTCACTTTGGCCCTCCAAGCCTCGTCAACCACAACTTCCAACAAAACAAAAAAGGGTACCACCCATTCCGAAGCAACACCTTCTAACCCCATCTCCTACTCGGACGACCAAATAGCCGCCCTTGTTAAAAAGATTGAGTTACCCCCACCCCCAGGATGGGAACTCAGACTTCCGCGACCCGGAGACTCATACAAGAACCCCCCCACCCGACTTCTATAGCTTCTTCATAGATCAAGCCAACGCCGGACTGAGATTTCCTCTGCACCCCGACTTACTCGAATTGAGCAAGTTATATCGCTATCCCTTGAACCAATTTCCTCCTAACGCGATGCGCTATCTCGTTGGTTTTATCATGACTTGTCGGGCTCACCTCGACGAGTTTGACCCAGAACTATGCTTCTATTGCCTCAATCTCCAATCCTCGAACAATACATCACCTTACCTTATGCCGCGCAACAGTGCTAAATTCCTTAAAAACCCTAAATCAAAAATTCATAACTGGCAAAACAAATTCTTTTTCGTTCGCCCCCCTTCCAAAATTTCCGACCTCCAATCCGAGTGGCTGGAAGAGCTACCAGGTCAACGAAAGAAACCAAGACGGAACGCCAAATATGACACCCTTATCGCCCAATGGAATAAGACCCCCCTTCACGTGGTGAAGCTGACCACCAATGACCGACTCCTTCGGCACTTCCACCTATCGAGCTATGCTGCTGACCCCGTGAGTGATATAGGTAGGATTCGACGCCACAAGTTGCCGTCATATCACTTACTTTTTCCTTTATGCTAGTCCTACTCATATGACTTGTTTACTTATATTTTTTCTTTCCTTGTCATGCAGCGGAACTTCACCAGACCTGCGCTGCCCCCCCTGCCAAGTCCACAGAAGCAGCGCCTACTCCCCTCAAAGCGCCAGCGCAGGAGGTGGACGACCTCGTCCTGGACCAGGTCCCCGAGCGCCGAGTCTCCCGAGAGCATCCGACGAGGTCCTTCAAGCGTAAGAAGACTTGCCCCAAAAAAGGGGACCACATCGGCACCAGGCGCCGAGGTGACCACCGGCACCCTGCGGGCCAAGAAGCCAACTCGATTTGCCGGGAACAAGGACGTATCGGTAACCAGCTCTTACCTCCTCGACATTTTTCCGAAGGGCGAGACAACGCAATGGCCTACCAAGAAGAGGCGAGCCGAATCGATCACCTACAACCTTGGTCTGGTATGACTCTATTACACTTAACTTACACCATTATTAAACACATATTGCAAAATCTATGCAAATCTAACCCCATGTCCCAAACATGGGGTCGTGCGTCCGGAGGCGACGGTCGGACTCCCGCACAGATTCAAAAAAAAAAGAATTTAAAAAATATTCACCGCGTAAAAAATAAAAAAAAATTACCTTACTAGAGAAGTATGCTTTGTCGAGGCCGTAGGATTTTTCCGATATTTTTTCAGATTTTTTTCGGTGCTCGAATCGCTCGTTGAAAGTTCGGGAGTTTAGAGAGATAGAGAGAAAAAAAAAAAAAAGATTAAGGGCAAAGAGTAAAAAAGGGCCTAGTAAGGGGCGGTAAATAGTAAACGAGGAATCAATTGGTCTCAGTTACATGGCCCATTAAAGTTTGGCCCATGCCCAATAAACACTGGTCGCATCTCGCCTGAGTATAACTCCAGCCATTACCCAATCGACTGCTTGAAGAGGCACTGAGCTGCAGCACGCAACCACTCACCAACTTTCTTGTTTGTAGACGAAGCGGATTCGGATCGGGTTGATGGTGAGGTCCTCACCGGTATTTCTGTAGCTATAGCAAAGGAAAAAGGCTGCTCAGAATCATTGCCAGTGAAACCCTAGGTATGGCTCTTCACTGTCCTTCACAAAGTTTTGAAGATTTTTAAAATTTTCAGTTAAACAACTGTGTGCTTAGCTCGCTACTCGTGCGTATTTGCTTTATGGTTCTACCTACTCTTTGGAATTTTCCACTTTTTAGTTGTTATCATATTAGAAAAGGTCCAAGACCTCAAGGATAAGAATGAATTACGAGACTGGCTACTGGAAGTCGGTCGTGAACTTGTAGTTGTTTGCGGTGGAATAGATTCAAGCGTCCGGGCCAGTAGATCCAGAGCAAATAGGCTTTGACTTAGTTTTGCAGTTGATTCTAACCGAATCATCAACAATTCTCATTGCCTCACCTTCGTCGAACCTCTCATCTTTCTATTTGTGCTAAGGAGATTCTGGTTCGCCCATTCGCCAAAGCCTAGCCGAGGAAAGAATGGTCCCCACCCATTGCACAAAGGTCTCATGGAACCCAAGCGCTTCCTTAAAGAGATAAAGCTTACTCCTGAACTCCATCCTTTTAGGAAAGAGTTCAGTCGCTACGCTCTACTCCCTAGGAATTTGCGCTCCTCCGTACTTTGGGTTGAGAGAAATAGATGACTGGGGCGAATCGCACCATACTGTAACCCCCGGTACCTGTGTGAGAGTATCATCCACAACGAAAGAGGGTGTGGATAACTTCATTTTGCATACCGTTGCGATTAAAATTATCACGCGAAGTTTGTTTGAGGTGCTATGATTTTGTCAATTTTGAATCATGAAGTTATTGGGTTTCTAAATTAATCTGTAATGGTTGTGAGCTGATGAGTCTGTAGCCCTTTTTATGTGATTATATTGAAGTCCCTGTGAGTACATTTTTTTCTCTCTGTTTTAGCTGGTCTTAAGTTTCTCGAGTAATGTAGTTGCCAGTTTTTTGGTGTATCTGAACGGTGAAAGTAGATGATTTTCAATTTTCATTTTATGCATCAATTTACTTTTCAAAAATTAGAACTGGATGGAAACTGGAAGCAAGTAACAAATCTATACAAGCCAATTGAATCTAGTAGATATATGCATCGCATTCCCTCATGGTGAACTATTAAGAGGCTAAGAATTGTTTTTGTGATTTTGTTTTTTCGACCCAGGAATCATGTACATAATGAGGAAATCATTTGGGTGTTTGCTCGGACTCAGCTTTAGGTTTCCGATTAGCTGGAAGGAGTGTTGAATTTCAGTGTGTCTCTTCTGAGTTTTATCTGGAGCCGGTCGAAAAAAAGGAGAAAAAAAGAGTAAAGTCAAGCCTTATTCGATCGAGGTGTGTATATAGTGTTCTCAAATTTTCACTCGGATCAACTGGTTTTTGGAGTGATTATGATTTTGTTGCGTCTTTTTTTGCTGTTCATTGCATGTGAATTTTGGGTTTTTGGGGAAAAAATTTGATTTATGGCTGGGGTTGAGTGCAACTGCAATAATTCTTGATTTTGTTGGGTTTTACGTTAGGGTTTTACATCTGATTGTTCTGGGTGAGATGATTTTGGTGGCGAGACGACTTATGTTGGCTGCAGCAGCTATGGTCAACTGGTGAGAAGTGAGTAAACTTGAGGGAATACGAGTTAGAAAGAACATCATCATCTCATTTTTGTTACCATCTTTTAATTTAGGCTTATTAAGTGCTTGTGATTTCCTGTGTGTAGAGTTTTCAAGGGTTTCTTGACACTTGACAGCCTTTAAGGGTAATCCTGTTTGCTAGTTTGTGATGTCGATAAATTCTGTTGTATCTAGTAGATATATGCATTGCATTTCCTCATGGGGAACTGTTACAAGGCTAAGAATCGTTTTTCTGCTTTTTGTTTTTCGACCTAGGAGCCATGGACATAGATGAGGAAATCCCCGCCTTAACCCCACCCACTGCCCCCTCTCCAGTCACCATCAATGAAATCGCGCTTCCTCCTCCTATCGACCCTATCCTGGTTCCGCCAGCTCAGCCCTTAATCCCGCCTGTCATCACAACCCCCCTCATACCCCCTATTGCCCCTATTCCAAGACCATTAGCTCCGTTACCCGTCCTCCGGCCACAGAATGGTGGAGACTCTAAACCCGGAGATTCCGATTCCGATCCCGATTCCGATGAGTCGTCCCAGAGATACCAAGTGTCGGAGGAAAGCAAGGTGGATAAGGAAAGGCAGGAGAAAGCTGTGCAGGAACTTCTCATGAAGCGCCGGGCAGCCGCCTTAGCCGTCCCCACCAATGACAACGCCGTGCGGGCCCGGCTCAGGCGGCTGGGCGAGCCCATTACCCTCTTTGGGGAGAGGGAGATGGAAAGGCGGGACCGTTTGAGGGCGCTTATGGCAAGGCTCGATTCCGAGGGGCAGCTGGAGAAGCTGATGAAAGCCCACGAGGACGAGGAGGGAGCAGCATCGGGCGCGGTTGCGGAGCCCGAGGAGGATATTCAGTACCCGTTCTATACGGAGGGCTCGCGTGCCTTGCTCGAGGCTCGGAAGGAGATTGCAAAGTATTCGCTCGTGAAGTCTGCTTCGAGGCTCCACCGGGCGAAAAGGAGAAAAGAGGACCCGGATGAGGATTTGGATGCTGAGGTGGAGTGGTCGTTGAAACAGGCTCGGAATCTGGTGTTGGAGTGCAGTGAGATCGGGGATGATCGGCCGCTCTCGGGTTGTTCGGTTTCGCATGATGGGAAAATGCTTGCCACCTGGTAAACTTTTTTTCTTTTTTTTGTCTCTTTTTTAATTTTATGGGTGTCTGGTTTGAGAGTTTATGACTTGTTCTGTATGTAATATCTGTAGACTGTTGCATGGGCTTGCGGTCATAATGTTGCAAGTGCTCTGTTTTTGGTACTTTTGTGTTGGGTATTTTGGGGTTGCTAGTTACAAAGTCATGAATGTATGGATATCATGGTAGTTTATCAGAGACGCCACCTATACAAATGCACTCGTATAAAGAAAAGAGCAAAAGCAATGAAGATTTATTGATCATTTTTTTTTTGTTTCTTCAATTCGAACACTTTTCTGTTGTTATACATGTAAAAAGACCAACCATAGCAGCGTCAAACAAGGCAAATGTGATCTTTGCTGTCCTTTTATTCTATCTACAAATGAGTTTATTTAATACTTGTGCAATCATTTTGTTAAGTTTTCATACAATTCTATCTTGTACAGCGTTCATATATCTTTTTTAAAAAAAACAGTCCTAATTTCTCACATTTTGAGTGTTCATATCATGAAATTTATTCACCACTAGAAAAAAAACCTCCCTGCATGTTTCATGGTTTTTTCCCATTCCTCTTTTAGCTCTATAAGTGGAGTTGCAAAAGTATGGACCATGCCCGACGTAAAAAAGGTGTCCTCGCTAAAAGGACACACTGAACGAGCCACCGATGTAGCATTCTCCCCAATCAACCACCAATTGGCCACTGCCTCAGCCGACCGAACGGCAAAGCTATGGAATCACGATGGGTCGGCCCTCCGAACATTCGAGGGCCACTTGGACCGTCTTGCCCGTATTGCCTTCCACCCATCCGGAAAATTCCTAGGCACGGCTAGCTTTGACAAGACTTGGAGATTATGGGATGTCGAGACTGGCGAGGAGTTGCTCTACCAGGAAGGCCATAGTAGGAGTGTGTACGGAATATCTTTCCATCACGATGGCTCTTTAGCGGCTTCGTGTGGGCTCGATTCTCTTGCTCGTGTGTGGGACCTTAGGTCCGGGAAAAGTATTCTCGCTTTCGAAGGGCATGTGAAGCCGGTAAAGCTGTTGCTATGTTTTGACTCGACTTTTTTTATGTTAATTTACAAAAACTGCCTTTTGAGGTTTTACTGCTTATTTGAGTTTATGACAAAACCACATGGTAGTAATTGTATTGAGAAAGCACTTTGAGGTTGTGAAATATTGAAAGTTAGGTCTCTGTTTTCAGGCTTTAGGTGTGAGTTTCTCTCCCAATGGCTATCACTTGGCCACTGGTGGTGAAGACAACACTTGCAGGATATGGGATTTGAGGAAGAGGAAATCTTTGTACATAATACCGGCTCATTCGAACCTTATTTCACAGGTCAAATTTGAGCCTCAGGAGGGCTACTTTCTGGTTACGGCTTCGTATGATATGACTGCTAAGGTATATGGATACATTTGTTATAATAAAACCTTTAGCTTACAGTTACACATGTATATGGTTTATGAACTGTCTTTAAATTGTCGATTTCTTTCTTCAGATCTGGTCTTCAAGAGATTTTAAGCCTGTGAAGACACTATCTGGTCATGAATCAAAAGTTACATCTTTGGATATCGTCGGAGGTTAGTTTCTCTCTCTCTCTCTCTCTCTCTCTCTTTGTGGCAAAAAAGACACATTTTCTTAATTAATTTTGTGACAGATGGACAGTGCATTGCGACTGTTTCTCATGACCGAACGATCAAGTTATGGTCGGCTAGAGAATCTGAGAAAGATAAGGATATGGAAGTTGACTAGCTTTGGGTGGGATTTTTACTACTTTAAATTCATTCAGAGGACTTCTGTTGCATGGAAGAAAACTGCGGTTATCTTCTCAAATGAAGAAATTATTGTTGCGAGATAAAAGTACCGTTATGCCCTAAATGAGATCGTGCTGTTGTATCACTAAGCATGAATTATGAATATACTGGTTTTTCTGTATGTTACCCTTTTGTGACTTGGAAGTTATATTTTTCTTTTATGTTCAGAAAAATCAGTCTCTATTTTACTTTTATGTTCAGAAAAATCCAACATGAGGAAGAGAAATTATTGTTGCACTGAGCATTTTTCGTCGTTTCCGATGTCTTTTTAGCAAATTAAATATTATCTATAGAATTGTTTTTTACTATTTATTTTGGTATTATACCTGTTTATTCGAAGAAACTAATATAACAACTGTAGTCATTCCAATGGAACTGTTTATGTTCAGAAAAAAATTATTGGTTTTTACTATTTTTAGCACCTCCATTGTTGATGGCCTTTGCAGGATATACAACTGTAGTCATTCCAAAGTCCCTTGTTCCACATGTTGGATTGGAGATTTTAGAATTAGGTAAACTTTCTCCTCAACAAATATCAATTTGGTGTTATTATAAGTTATAGTAGTTTCTGTATTTAATCTTTCAGATTATATTGTGTAACAAAGTCTTATCACACACACACACACAAACATTGTATAGCTTCGCATTGGAACGCTTATCCATTAGTACAAACATTGCCCTACACATTTATTTTTGCAACCCAAATAAAAAGTCGTTTTCTCAAAAGCTGGTGTTGTTTTGACAAAGTCATGTTTCCTATTAGGCACGTGTTATTATGTTCACCAGAACGTGGGTATGTAGATGAACGATTCTATTATTTGTGAATTGAATACTTGATTAAGGCTTGATTGATAAAATTATACACGTGTGTTATCAACAAATAAATGTAAATTATGAAATTGTTTTTTCGTTTAGTTGGAATTAGAGGTTTAGAGCACAAAGTTTTAGTTTTTGTTTTAAATAGAGTATATTTAGGATGTTATATTATTGTGTTTATTTCTTTTTCCCCTTGTAGGCCGCGATGTTAGTATAGTATCGGTAGATTCGACCCAAAATACAATCATTATGTTCATTTTTTGGTGGCCATTTTAGGGGTTATTTAATTTAATTTTTGTTATTTTTATCGTCCTATCCAACCATTATGTTCATTCACCTAGCCAATATATGTTTACTTCACATGGGATCTATTTTTAGCCGTCACTACGTAAATTACACTCATCTATGGCTTTATGACATCTGATTATTTAACACAATTANAATTGGAAAATGAAGGACGAAGCGATATTGAAAAAGTAAAAGCAAACCTAAATAAAGTGCTATAGTGTTAAGCTTTGGTTAAAATGATTTCAGTTATACATTTGTTTTTTTAAGCAATTATTAAAAAAAAAATAGATAAAAAAATTATTTAGAATTAAAATAATAAATTTATAATATTCGCGAATTGGTTAGGTGCAAAACGGGGTTAGAACCCGAACCACAATCAATTCGGTTTTAGAAAATAAAACGACAAGGAAATTGAACTATAGAAATAATAAGTCGAACTATATTGAATCATTCGGCTCTGACTTCATTTTTCAGTTTCGATTTCATTTTACATTGTTTGATAAATTGAAAAACAACAAAAAAATACACATGTCAGTTGTAGATAATCAAATTTTGAGCCAATAAAATGGCGACAAGTGTCAAATTCCACGTTAAAATTAATTTAATAATTTTCTATTTTATTTGGGAAATTAATGAAATTTTAATTTCAAAATTAAATAGTTAATTAATTGGTTATTTAATATATATTGTTGGTCAATTAAAGAATAACACATGTATATTTTGAAGGCCAATTAAAAAATGACACATGTCATTTTCTTGGAGAATAAAATAAATAATAATTTCTTTTAATAATTATTAAAGAGATAAATAAGTGGATATTCATGTACCAATCAAATTGAAGTCTTCTTTTCCAAGAGTCCATCTTCTAATTATCTCTTTAATAAATAAATATTGGAAATTATGAACTAATCAAATTGATCAAGTCTTCTTTTCTAAGACTCTCTCTCCTAACACCTATAAATAGGGACCATCCCTAAGGTGAAAATCACAATTCATATTCATAATTCAAGTTTCAAGTTCAATAGCTCTAGAGAATTCTCCCAACGAGATTCAAGTGTTCTTGAAGATCCGAAGGCGCTCTTGAAGATCTGAAGGAAGATTCAAGCGCATTCAAGCTCAAAACCGACGTTCAATCCGAAAACAAGCTGTCAAGCCTCCGAATTGCGTTATTAAAGTCAAGACCGGCGTAGAGAAGATCAAAATCAACTTTGCGGCGAAGACCAAGGATTCGTGTTCTTCACATTCTTGGAAAATCACGACGTTCGATTCGAGATCAAGCTGTCAAGCCCTCGAAGAAACGTTATTTAAATTCAAATTCAAGACCGGCGGAGATCAAACTGAAGATTCATCTCCAAAAGTCTCAAATCTACTTAAAGATTGCTCTTGAAGAAATTAATCAGAGGAATAATAGAGATTTAGAATCCACTATATTTCATTTGATCCGTTGAAATTCATTTGTACGAATATCTCGTGTTTATAAATTCAATAATACGAAATTTGCGTTACAAATTTCTGACACGCCCAGTGGGACCATCTCTACCTCTCATCTCTTTTCTTCAAGATATCTAAGTGCAACAATGGCTCCTCCCAAGTCAACTTCTTCAAGTTCTGCAAGCAAAAGTGTTGGTGTTACAACAAGAAGCATGGCAAAAAACAAGAGTGTATCTCTGGAAGTAAATTCTCACCAGGTTGAGGAAAACATGTTGCATTTGAACCAAGAAGAAGATTTAAGAGACGATGTTTCATCAACACCTTTCTCAATGGAGGCACTTGTTATGACGACGAACGCGTCAACCATTGAAGAGCAACTTCAACCATGGCGAAAACAATGGAGGCACTAATGAAACATGTCCAAGATCAAGACTCCATGATCTCCAAGTTGGTAGAAAAGGTCGACAAAGCTGAGACTAGCCGTGCTGGGGGCAAGGAAGATGAAACACATGAGGAGGAAGAAACTTCTAAAGAAGATGAGGTGAAGCAAATTGAAAACGAGAAGACTACGTCAGAAATCCATGTTTCTTCAAGTGGACTCATAGCAACTGACCAACTCAAAGATTCCATCATGGGAACCATCAAGGACAAATTCGATGTAGGCTCCAAGTCGTCTTTAACTTATTCAAAGCCATACACCCAAAGGATTGATAGCTTGAAGATGCCTACTGGATATCAACCGCCAAAATTCCAACAGTTTGATGGTAAAGGAAGCCCGAAGAAGCACATAGCTCACTTCATTGGGACTTGCAATGATGCTGGAACATATGGAGATCGTTTGGTGAAGCAGTTTGTTCGATCACTGAAGGGAAATGCATTCGAGTGGTACACCGACTTGGAGGCAAATTCTATTGATAGTTGTGAGCAACTAGAGCAAGAGTTTCTCAATCGCTTCTATAGCACATGAAGGACGATCATCATGATTGAGATCACTTCTACAAAGCAGTGGGATGAAGAGCCTGTTATTGACTACATCAACCGATGGAGAAATCTAAGCCTCATGCAAGGATCGACTGTCTGAAGCTTTTGCTATTGAAATGTGTACTCAAGGGATGCATTGGGGTCTCCGATACATTCTGCAAGGAACTCAACCAATGTCTTTTGAAGAGTTAGCCACTCGTGCAAATGATATGGAGTTAAGCATGTCTGCAAGCGGGGTCAAGAATCCACCCGTCCATGAGCCTCAAAGATTCAAAGACCGAAATGAAGCCAAAAAAGAGGGCAAGTCTCCTCTAAAGCGCCTAACAAAGAGGTGAAAGAAGCTTTGACGGTCAATGCAAGACCCATCAAACTCAAGGGAAACACAAGTGAGAAAGTTGTGGAAAAGAAAGTAGTCCCTCAAGATAGGGGGCAAAGAAAATTAACCTTGAAGGAGATGCAAGCCAAACAATATCCTTTTCTTGACTCTGATGTTTCTAGAATTTTCGACCATTTGATTCGGGAAAAACTTATCGAACTGCCGGAGATGAAACGACCGGAAGAAGCGGGACAAGTTGACACCCCAAAATACTGCAAGCATCATTGTCTGGTAAGTCACTCCATCGAAGATTGCTTTATCTTAAAAGATAGAGTTATGCAGCTGGCACGACAAGGCATATATCGCTTGAAGAAGACCAAGGCACTGCGAACTTTGCTTAAATAGTGAACTGCGATGAAGGATATGAAAGTTTCTTGTAATGTGACAAGCGAGCAAGATGATGTCCCAACTGATGATGAGTCAACAGATGACAAAGAACGATGTAATCATGAAGACAATGATGCGGCAGTCACTTTCACGGATGAAGACTTGATGTTGGGCTCAAAATCCCATAATAGGCCTTTATTCGTAACTGGTTACACTCGTGAGAAAAAGGTGAATCGCATAATTATAGATGGAGGTTCTGCTGTGACCATTTTATCTCTGCGCACTTTAAAAGAATTGGAGGTCCCGATGGATGAGCTCTCAAATAGCCGTTTGATGATTCAAGGCTTTAACCAAGGAGGGCAACGAGCTCTAGGCATAATTAGATTGAAATTATTAATCGAGGAGATGACTTCAAATGCTCTTTTCCATGTGATAGATGCCAAAACCTCTTACAACATGTTGTTGGGACGTCCTTGGTTGCATGAGTATGGAGTTGTGCCTTCTACCTGGCATCAATGTTTTAAATACTGCCAAGATGGTGTAGTAAGAAAAGTTCTTGGAGATGATAAGCCTTTTACTGAAGTCGAGTCTTATTTCGCCGACGCCAAGTACTATTTTGAAGATACCAAGTCTGCTCGCAATAAAGAAACTCCCATTAAACAACAAAGTGATGCCAAAGAGAAGAAAGCCAATAACCTCGTTGGCAACAACCCTCTTAATGGACTGGTGTTGCCGTTACCTAACCTCGATACAAAGAAACCAACCACGCAACCCTTAGGAAAGTTTTTTCGTCCGGTTGATGGAGCTAAGACTGAACACGGAGAGGAGCTCCAAAATTCTAATCATTATGACCCAAAAGCTTATAAACTTCTTGTCAAATCTAGATATAATCCGAAAGAAGTGAGCACTTTGGGAACACTTCTTCCGCAAGCAGCAAAAACTCAAAAGAGGGATGCTGGAGTTTCCAAAACTAGAGTTGGTCTCGGATTCGTAGCACCAAATCCAGTTCGGATTGCTATAAAGCGAGCCAATTCTAATCATGTGTCTGAGGAAGAATTTTCATCCACTGATCACTTGAAGAATGGAGAAAGAAGATCGGTATTTGAAAGGTTCGGACCCATTCAAGAGTTAGAGTCCAAAGGAACTA